ATAACCTCTCAGAACTCTAAGTCACTCTCTAAAAACATAGAAGGTAGTTTCCTTGTTCTGGAGCAGTTAAATAGCATAGTGAATAAAAGCATTGGACTTGATACAAGGAAGACCTGAGTCCAAATCCTACATCAGATACTTATTAGTTGCATGACCCTAGAAGTCAGTTAATTAATCTTAATTTCCTTATCTGTAAAATGTAGTCACAAGATTTTTGTGAACATCCACTAAGTTTACATATGCACAGTATTTTGCAATTCTTAAAGCAAGGCATATATAATAATAGTTAGTATATATATATATATATATATATATATATATGTATATGTCTGTATACATACACATATTCCAGATGAGGAAATTATGTATGGGTGTGTTTTTTATATACAAGCATATATATATATGTATATCAACTATTATTATTATTTTCTTCATCTGCTAGTTCCCTCTATCAATCAAATTACAGGTGCACTCCCTATCCCTAGTGATAAATAAACTTTTGGGGAATTGCTTTAGAACCTAATCAGTATTTATAACATTGTTTGAGTGGGAAAATGAGTCCAATGGCATAATAGAGAAAAGTGAACATATAAAGTCTCCTTCCCCATTTCTTAAGGAAGGCTCATGGTGTTTTGACAACATTATGTCATATGCCAAGATGACTATCTAGAGGTCAGTGTAGCCTGCTGCTGTATAGGACATGATTTGGTCAACACCGCCTCTATTTTATGCTTTGTCTGATGTTGACACTCGGAGAAATACAGTTATCTCTGTGGTTGTACCTATCAGAGAATCTTGTATGCTCTTAAAATATACCTAGGAGACATCTTGTTAAAGGAGAATCTCAAAGGTTTCATTTTCTCTATTAGATCAAAAGTTTTTTCTGTAATCAAAATATAATACGAATAGCAATGTCATATATTCTCCATACTAATCATATAACCAGGAAGATGAGGCCTTTTTTTTAATTTTTCCTGTAGAAAATTGTTTATGAAATCCTGCCCATTCCTTTCTCATGTTTTCATCAAGATCACTCTCTATACATGCATAGGACATTCATAAAAAATGTTTTTAGAGGTAGAAAAGTAGACATATGTGTTAGTAATTGCTGCATTCTATTCATTTGCTCAGAGGAAGGGGATATAATGTTGCCTTTGATTCTCCATTCTTTTAGAATCTTCTCTGAGATATCTTGAAAATGGAACCCTAATTATTTTAAAAAATTTTTGACTCCAACATGGAATTTCAGTATTTCAGGTACTGTTCATCTTCCTACCTTCATCTCAATAATAATAATACTCATAGCTAGCATTTATATAGCAGTTAAAAGTTGAGAACCTGCTGTGCATATATTGTCTCATGCTAATTCACAACGACCCTTTTGAGATAGGTGCTACTAATATCCCCATTTACAGATGAGGAAACTGAGGCAGACAGCGGTTATGTGACTTATCCAGGGTCACAAAGCTGTAAGTGTCTGAGGTAGGATTTGAACTCAGGACTTACTGACTCCAAGTCTAACACTCTATCTACTATACCATCTAGTTGCCAATATTGGACCAGGAGTCAGGAAAACCTGAGCTCAGGAAGACTGAGTTCAAATCTGGCCTTGGGCACTTACTATCTATGTCACCCAAGTCAAGTCACTTAACTGCCATCTGCCTCAGTTTCTCCATCTATATGGAATAAATAATAGCACTTCACTTCAATAGTGTTGTGAGGATCATGACCTAACATACATACAGCATTTTCTAACCATCAAGTGCTATATAAATGTTAGCTTATCATTGCCATCTTGTTGCTATTGTTATCTAGCTACTCACATAGGCATACCTTGGAGATATTGTGGCAATATTGGTTCCAGGCTACTGCAATAATCAATATCTCAATCAAGCAAGTCACATGATTTTTTTTGGTTTGTTATGCTTACACTATACAGTGTAGTCTATTAAGTGTGCGATAGTATTACATCTTTAAAAATGCACATATTTTAATTTTTAAAAATTCTTTGTTGTTAAAAAAAATGCTAACCATTATCTGAGCCTTCAGTGAGTGGTAATCTTTTTGCTGGTGGAGGATCTTGCATCAGTGTTTTTGGCTGCTGAATGATCAGGTTGGTGGTTGCTGAAAGTTGGGGTGTCTATGGCAATTTCTTAAAATAAGACAGCAATGAAGTTTTGGGGCAGCTAGCTGATGCAGTGGATAGAGCACCAGCCCTGGAGTCAGGAGGACCTGAGTTCAAATCTGGCCTCAGACACATAACACTTACTAGCTGGGTGACCCTAGGCAAGTCACTTAACCCCATTGCCTAGCAAAACAAAAACAACAAAAAACAAACAAACAAAATAAGACAGCAATGAAGTTTGGGACATTAATTGATTCTTCCTTTCACTTGAACACTTAGAGCCTATTGTAGGGTTATTAATAGGCCTAATTTCAATATTATTGTGTCTCAGGGAATAGGGAGGCCTCAAAGAGAGGGTGAGAGTTGGGGAAATTGTCTGTTGGTGGAGCAGTCAGAACACACACAACATTTATCAATTAAGTTTGCTTTTTTTTTTTTTAATGAGGCAACTGGGGTTAAATGACTTGTCCAGGGTCACACAACTAATAACTGTTAAGTGTCTGAGGCCAGATTTGAACTCAGGTAGTCCTGACTCCAAGGCTGGTGCTATATCCACTGCACCACCTAGCTGCCCCAAATTTGCTGTCTTATACAGCATGGTTCATGGTAACCCAAAACAATTACAATGGTAATATCAAAGATCACTTGATCACAGATCACAGTGACAGATATTATAATAATAAGGAAAAAGTTTGAAATGTTGTAAGAATTACCAAAATGTGACACAGGGACATGATGTGAGCACATGCTGTTGGAAAAATGGCATCAATAGATTTGCTTGACAGAGGGTTGCCAAAAACCTTCAATTTGCAAAAAGTAAAAATATCTGTGAAGTACAATAAAGCAAAGCATAATAAAATAAGCTATGATTATATAACATATCAGATATGTTACAGATACAGATATTTAGTGACTAAATAATGATAATATTTCATTAAAGAACTGCTAGAAAATCTGTTTCATTTGACATCTCTTTCCAATTCCATCTAAAAATATTTTGGGGGATGATCTAGCTTAGTTGGATCTGATTTCTGAAGGCTCATTTCCCATCCATGAATTTTTACTGTTTTATGAGGTGATATTATGCATACTCTTTCATCATCATAGTTTTTAATAGTTTGAAAATGATACTGTATTCTAAATAAGAGCTACCTTCAACTTTTTTTGTTTTTTTGTTTTTTTGGTAAGGCAATCACAGTTGAATGACTTGCCCAGAGTCACACAGCTGGTAAGTGTCAAGTATCTGAGGCTAGATTTGAACTCAGGTCCTCCTAACTCAGGAACAGTGCTCTATCTACTGTGCCACCTGGTTGACCCTCCCTCTTTTTTTTTTTTGTCCTTTAACTTTCAGATCACCATGCTCTGTAAGGAGAAAAAATGTTTCCTGCCTGAGTTTGTTTCTGGGTTCTTTTGTCCTCCTAAGTGTGGCAACTATTTTGTATTTGTTAAATTTCTCCAAGAACTACAAGTATTTATGTCCCTTCATTTATTTTCCATTTTTCATAATCAAAATCAATTTAAATAAATCAGTCTGGATCAGTAATAATTTTACTAAGTGCCATCTTCTCCTCATTATCCTCTCTGGTTTTGAACTTTGCTCTAACCAGTTAATAATCTGACTACAGACAAATATATTGGTAACCCGTCATTTCCTCTCTGTTAATATATGATCAGTTTTGTTTTCTGTAATGCTAGGAGAAGGGTTTTCTGATAAAGAGCCAGCATGGTTTCATTAAAAACAGGTAATACTAGGACTAACTTCATTTCCTTTTGAGACAAGGTTTGGTAAGACAAAGAAGTCATGGACTTAGGATGTAAAATGATACATGCATTTTCAGACACAGTCAATGTATTTATTTTTTGATTGACTGTGCATACATGTTAAAAGGGAGAGCTCCTACTACCAAGTAAGGAGAAGGCTGCTTAATGGATAGTGACAGACATTTTTTTAAAAAGAACATTAAAATATTTCAAGAATACTTAGAAAGTAACAGAAAGAAGCATGTAAGGGTCCAGCATTCTCTCTAATGCACCACCTAACTGCTTCCATTTAACCAAAGGATCCTAAATTTCGAGTTAGAGATGACCCCAGAGAGCGTTTAGTAGACCTCATTTTATAGATTAAGAAACTGAGGTGAAATGACTTGTTCCCATCACAAAAGTAGTAAATGGCAGAATTAGGATTTGAACTCAGATCCAGTGAACACCAGTTCAATCCACTGAGTGAAAAAGGAAACTTGGTGTAAAGGAGGGATATTGGAGGTGGGGGGAGGAGATTCTGACCCTGTGTCTTTCATAAACCAACTGTTTCTATATATAATATGTCATAAGCCGAGAGGCTTTAACTTGGTTATGCATACTTCTGCATATTAGACATACAGGGACATGTGTAACTTTATATTCATAGAGTACTATTGGCCTGAAGCTATTATCCTGTAAACATGAAATTTCTATTAGCATAATCACTAATTGGAATCCTGTTTTTGGTTCTAGTTTAAAGGATAGTCATTTGCTAACCACCCAATGCTTTAATGAGAATTGTAATATGTTCTACTGCCTGAGGCTGGGACCCATCTGAGATGCAAGTATACAAGTCGAATACACAATACACATATGAAAAGCAACACTACCATCTCTTTGAGATAGTAATCACAGTATTAAACCAAAATGGAGCGTCAGTTCAAAAGAATGATTGAAGTTAACAGTAGATGGGTCCACATGCCCCTAATTAACTAATTTGCTAATAGCTGTTTCTTATTTAGAGATGTTCACTCACATTCTTCTTAGCTGTATAGAGTAGAATAGAAAATACTCAAGAGCTTTTAGCAAGTAAATATTAGGATATTTCCCCTAATTGTGAAAAAAAAATGCATACTTTAGGACTTGGATCTTCTTTTCCATCTTCCATGGTTGACACTTGACTGTAGCAATGACTTGCCTTTTTTCATCTAACTCTGCCTTCATTCTCTCCAATTCCTCTTCATCAATTTCATCATCTTCATCTCTTTAAGGGAAGAAGAATGCATAAAGTTAAAAGACAGACCCTAAGCTTGGCTCCATTTCCAAATATAAAAAAGACTGATATTATCATTGCAATGAATACTCAGCCCAATGTCCTTGACTTGAAAAATTGAATCATCAAGTTCTATCACTTTTATTTGCATCTTTTACCTCAAATTTCAAAAACAACTACACTTAAATGTTAATTTTTTTCTTTAATAGTTTTATGTTCTGAAACTGAGTTCTTTTCCAGATACTCAGGCATAAAACTAGACCTTTGGGGAAAAAGGGATATATGGAGTTTTGAGGGAGTTTTCCTCTCACCTTTCCATTCTTCCCCTTATCCATCTTGGCCATCTCCATCTTTGATTTTCTATTCAAACTAAAACTGCCAACAAAAGATAATAAGCTAAAAGTGACAGTGCTATTTAATTACCCTCAAAATTTCAATTGGTCCTGTCTTAAGAAAGGAAGAAAGCGATATGGAAAAAAGTAAAAATATTTTATGGGATAATGGATTTAAAGGTGTCGGGGCCTTATAGATCATTAAGTCCAATCCCTTTATTTTACAGATAAGGTAAAATGACTTATCCAAGATCATATAGGTAATGCATTGATTACCTTTGTGTCCCCCTCCATTAGGGCTCTACAGCATGGTCCCATGTATCCCCTTTCCAGAGGACCTGATTTTGTCTATACATATACATACATATATATATATATATGTATATATATATGTATGTATGTATGTATGTGTCTCAATAGTTGTAAATTTCCATATCATATAAGAAGATCTATGGATGTACAACCATGCAACCAATTTTTCAAGTGTCATACTAACCCTAAATACTGAATAAACAACAAATAACTGATTTTTTAAAAAAAAAAGATTATATAGGTAACCTTACAATAGTAAGTGGCAGAGACAGGATTTGAACCTTGGTCCTCTGACTCCAAATTTACTGCTTTTTCTACTGTAGCATTGTACTTGGTGCTTCTAAGGCTCAACTGGTAACTCAAATGTATTGAATGAGGAGTGAAGTTCACATATGGTGTGTGTGTGTATATGTATGTGTGTGTGTGTGTGTATGTGTAGGTGAGTGTGTGTATGTGCATTTTTGTATTTAAGTCAACATGGGACATTTCTTATTTATTGAGCAGTTGTGGTTTAACTGAGCAAGTCCTTTGTCCTCTGTACTTGTATTTCTCTGTTTAAAAAAAAAGCTATTAAGCTAAAATGTGAGAACAGTGAGGATGATATGTTTTCAAAGTTAGTAGTGGATTACCATTCTCTCTCTGTCTCTCTGCCTCTGTACCTCTCTCTCTCTCTGTCTCTCTCTCTTTTTCTCTGTCTCACTGTCTCTGTATCTGTCTCTCTGTATCCGTGTCTGTCTGTCTGTGTCTGTTTCTCTCTCCACACACACACACACACACACACACACATACACACACATGTATGTATGTATGTAAGTATTTATATATGTGTGTATGTATATCAGGGCCTCTATATTAATCTCCTTCACCAAAAAAATAAAAATAAAATGATGAGACAAGGGACAGAAGCCTGTTTTTACAGGGCCACTTGTCAGCCTTGGAACCACTGCAGTTGGTTCTCAAACTGAGCATCGTGGGGCCCCAGGGCACCATCAAGGGAAACAGAGAAATGTTCACATCTGTCAGACACCAATCAGCTCAAGGTGGTTCACAGTTTCAACATTAGATCATGCTATATTCCTTTCATTTACATTCTCAAATGCATGTTTCTCAAATACAGTTCAGGAAATTGAGATTCTAGGAGTCTATGAGTCACTGAGGCCCAGGATTCCAGGAATATAAGACCACGCTGGGCTTTGTAGCCAGTTCAGCATTGATGCTCCAAGGAACAAGAAATGACCTTCAGAGGTAACTTTTGGAATCCAGTTCAAGGGTAGCTGGAATAAGGGTTCATCCAGCAGTCATGCCACATCTGGACCTGAACTTGGTACAAAGTTGTGCATTGTGCTAAGTCTGAGGCTACTCTCTCCAGAGACCAAGCTAGTACTGAGGAGTATCTGTCCCTCAGGGTCCTCCCCTCCCAGTTTGATTTTTTTTCCCCCGAATAGGCAAACTAGGCCATCTTTTCCCTCATTTATTACCTAGCCTTAAAGCACTGAATGTATATATATATATGTATATATATACATAAATAGACAGATACATACACACATATATAATTAATAATGGATCATATGACACTAAGGACACCATTCATTACAGATGCAGATTCTTTACTACTCTAGAACATTTATATTTTGCTGATCAGTAAACTTGTGCTGAGTAAAAATTGAAATTTAATAAAAAGACATTTTAGAAATACATAAAAGAAATAAGAAATGTTCATTCGGTTTGTAACGCTTGATCTAATTAGGTGTGGGAAAAAGCCAAGAATGTGAAGTTAGAGAACCAGAGTGTGAATTCACACTCTACCATTGACTAGTTATATAACTCAGTCAATTACTGAACTTCTCTGGGACCCAGTTTGCCTATCTTTAAAATGGGGCAATTTAGATTGTCTCTAAATACCTAGCTCTGAATCTATGATTTTATGATATTACTTCTTCATGCCTTGATTGTTATTTAACAATATTACTGTTAAAAAGCGATCTTGTATTAATTCTTTATAGTATGATGGGGGAATCATGGTTAGGTTTGAGATGCTGTGAAAAAGATCAGGGCTTTGAATGAACTACAAGCTTATTATGAGACAACAGTGTGATATACAGGTAAAAAAAAATTAATGCTATCCTACATGGCACTGAGAGAGCCTATTGTCCAGAACAAAGAAGGTGATGTTTCCACTGTAGGTTGTCTCCATCAGGCAGCATCTGGAGTGCTGTTTTCAGTTCAGTTCTAGTTATTTTAGGAAAAAGCATAGACAAGCTTGAACATGTTCAGAAAAGATGAACCAGATGGTAAAAAGACTGGAGAACATGTAAATAAGTAGCAGTGGAAAGAACTAGGAGTATGTTAGTTATCTTCAAGAATTTGAAGGGCTGTCATTGGAGGAGGTATTAAATTTATTCCACTTGGTACCAAGAGTCAGAACTAGGAACAAAGGAACAGAATGTAAGGTTCTCCCTAGAATGCAAGCTTTTTGAGGGCAGGAACCATTTCATTTTATGTTCTCAGTGCCTAACTCATAGTACGTTTCTACTAGATGCATATTAATAGATTAATTGATTGGTTGAAGTTAAAGAGAGGAAAATATTGTGCTTAATGTAAGGAAAAACTTTTTAACAATTAAGCTATCCAAAAGTAGAATACCCTTCACCCTTCCCTCGGAGATCTACTCATTGTTGAAGATGTTATAAAAGTATTCTTGGGTCAGTACATATTATAATAGGTGGTATCTGAGGTTCTTTCCACTTCCTAGATGAATGAATAAATGAACAAATGAAAAAAAGAATTTATTAAGTACTCACTATGTGTTATCATTCTGACCTCAGGCTAACAGTTAGCATTTGTTAACTATGTTAACATTTGTTAAATACGTTAACATTTTAGTTACCAACATTCAGACTGAAAGCAAACTACTCTGATGACCACTATAACAATCTGTTTATATTATGGATTATCTTCTTTTGTTACTATTATTTAACATATCTTGCAGCAAATAGTATGGTGGATACTATAGTGAACAAAGAATAAAATAATGTTGAATTGGTAACAATATCTAGACATGAAAATTTCAAGGCCAATTTGTTTTTTGTTTTGTTTTTGCTTTAAAAAGCAATATTTTCCCAACTGCCTTTGACAAAAAGCACTTTGCTAAAATAGTCAAAATATGGAAAACAGTTTCTGTGTAGATGCAGACTATTATTTGAGTCATTTTGAACATAGATTTAAGCCCTACTTCTAATACATATTGACTGCCTGGCCCAAGGCAACTAAGTCACAATCTCACTGAGCTTCAGTTTCTGCTTATCTATAAAATAGAGAAAATGATAGCACCTACTCCAAATGTAGTGTGAAAATCAATTGATGTAAAAAAAAAAAATATATATATATATACATACATATATAAAGCAGTCTGGAAACTTTAAAGTGCTACAGAAATGTAATCTATTATTACTATCATTATTATTATTTAGAGATATTTGTCTAAATCTTTCCTATTTATTATGAAGTTCTCTGCTTGGCTTTCATTTATCTAAACAGCTGTTGTTAGAGGAAAAGAATCATCTTATGCTGAATTTCTCACAGCTCTGAACACATATCATTACTTATTCACCTAAAATTGGGTCAGGAAAAGCCTGTGATATTATTAGAAGCATTCCAAACTGTCTAACAAGGCACTGTTCTTTAACTGTCTCCAAAGATAGTTAGCTTTACAATCTTTGGTCTTTAGTTGGTTTCAAATGTTTTCTTAGAGCAAGGGAAATTCCCATGGGTATTGTTTTGGTCTTTGAATAAGGACCCCTAGTTAATTAACTGAAATGAATGTGTCCTCATTTGCCTACTAATCCTCTTTAAAGCATGTGTGTTTATTGTTGTGTGTGTGTTTTTTTTCCTATTTAAAAATTCAAGTCTTTAGTGTTTAGGAAAGGAGATGGGTTCTAAATTAGAGAACAGAGCTACCACTTATTACAATGAGTCTACTATTCCTGTTAAGACACAAGCACTAATAATGGCCGCAGAATCTCTCTTTCCAGAGACGTCTCCATTTGTCTGGGCAAAGGACTCATTTAGTCAGATTTGCTATTTAACAAAATAAGTTTAAAAAAGTCCTGTGGTTCCCGGAGCTAGATCAATAGCAGAAGAAACTCAAGAGGAAAAAGTGAAGGTCTTAAGTGTAGGCCTCTTCAGAGCAGTCTAAGGCCTAACTCTCACCATGCAGAAGGACCTGAGATTGGGAAAGATAATACCTGAGGCAATTTTCTGGGGGGAGGGTCATCCTGGGAGAAATGGGAGTTTCTATGCAAATCCACACTCTCTGTGCCGCTCTGTTTCTGTCTTTATCTCTCTGTCTCTCTGTCTGTCTCTATCTCTCTATCTTTCTGTGTGTCTTTTTCTGTCTCTCTCTGTCTCCATCTGTCTCTCTCCCTCTCTCTCTCTGTCTCTCTCTCTCTTTTTCTCTGTCTCTCTTTATCTCTGGCTCTGTTTCTCTCTGGCTCTGTCCCTCCCTGTCTCTCTCTCTCTCTCTCTCTCTCTCTCTCTCTCTCTCTGTGTCTCTCTTTATCTGTCTCTGTATGTTGCTCTTTGTATCTTTCTCTGTCTCTGTCTCTCTCTCTTTCTCTCTGTTTCTATTTCTTTCTCTAGCTGTCTTTGCCCACTCCCTTTCCTTAAGAAGGCTGAGAAAACTAGGAAGTATCAGTTAGCCTTACAAGAAAGTGTTTGTCCTGCTGAGGTGCATCACGAAAGGAACTCAAATCATCATTAAATACATTCTTATGCTTCCTTTGCTATTTGTATTTCTAGTAATGAAGTGTACAGCAATAAAATGTTTTAGAATGCATCTTCCCCATTAAAATAAGCAAGACAATACAAGTGCGTTTTAGTTATAGAAGAACTGGACCTGTGATGTCATTTGGAATGTGGAACTCTCTCTAGCAATTCAAGTCAGCACCTTTTCTGCAACTTACAGTCTTGGAGAGTTGCTTAGAGAGCAGAGAAGTTAAATGACTTTCAGCGTCACACAGTTAGCAGATATCAAAGGTAAGACCTAGACTCAGGTTTCCTAGCTCCAATAGCTGGATCTCTATTCAACACTGCTCCTACTCACTCCACTTGCCTAATTATATGCACTTTAATCCTAAAAGGTACAAAGCACAAAGATATATATTGATGCATTCTTTCTCTTGCCTAGAATAGAAATTTAAGGCAAATATAATTCAAAGAGTTCAGTGAAAAGAGTAAGATACAGAGTGAAATGATAAGGAAACTTGAAGTTAAGTCTTTGTTTCTTTAAATGGCTTTACACCTACCTAAGGCTTAGCTTTCTACATCTAAAATCAAGGATTAGTCCCTCTCCAAGAAATGTTTCCACTATGAACTCAGCACGCAAATACAGTTATCCCTTCCACACGGCGACTTTCCTCATTGCAGTTTGGATATATCACAGGTCAGCATAAGAAATTAAATGGGAATATTGAGGGAGTTTTGTGGAAGCCGCAGATGACCTGCAAAGGTCAGCAGACAATGCAGCGCCTATGACCAAATACTCAACCCAAACTTTCCAATAAGGTAATGTAAACACCCCATAAAAGGAAAAAAAATCAGACTTCTTCTCTGGTACGAAGGGAGGGCCAAAACATTTTATGCGGATTTTCCAGACTGCAGGAGCACCACACCCCTAACCCCCAAGATGTGGACAAGATAATTGTACTATCATTACAGTCTTCTGGCTATGTCTTTATAATAATAAAATTTAACATCAGCTTCCAATTGAATAATAGGCCAAATGAACTTACGCTCCTCTCTTCATCTTCCTCCTCCTCTCTTTTTCCCTTGCTTTTCTGGTTTCTTTATCCTCTGATTCAGGCGGTGGGTCATCCTCATTGATAACATCCCTGTTCCTTTTCCTCTGTGGTCTCATGCTCTTTCTTCGTGGCAACTTTTCTTCCTTCTCTTCTTCACCTACACAGAATATTATGATTCAGTGAGAAAAATTTGAAATAGACTTCCACAAATATAATCACCATTCCTACATGACAACTAGGATCAGTTTTCTCATGAGCTGACCACATTCTCCATACAACCCAAGAAATCATTGTCCCAATTATTCTATAGCTCAGTTTGTTTGTTTTTTAAACACAAAGCAGTATGAGGTAGTGGAAAGAAATAAAAAGTTGTCCTCAGAGTGAGAAAAACCTGGATTCAAGTCCTGCCTCTGACATGTATATTTGCTCTGTGACCCTGAGTAAGTCATTAAACCTCTCAGTGACCCCAGGCTACTCTTTAAGACTCTAAGAAACTCTAAGTTTCAAAGCAGGTGCCTATCTATAATAGTAGATGGAGTTATTGATAATTGCCTTATATGCCTATAACTTTCCTTTTTCATTCTAAATTTAGTAGGCTTCAACAAAATGAACATCCAAATACACGAAATTACTTTATTTAAAATACTAAACTCTTATTATTCAAAATTTTTGAATGTATGCATTTACTTAAAAAAAATAAAGATAAAATATCTTATTCCATAAACCCTTTTCATCTCCCACTACTGTTCTTTCTTTTCCTCCTTCTCTCTTTTTTCTCCTTTCCTTTTCCTGCCTCCTACTTCTTTTCTTTCTTCTTTTTGTTCATTCCTCCCTCCCTTTCTTCTCTCCATATTTCTTCCCAAAATTGAGTTACCATTAGAAAGTATACTTTATCTGCATATTGAGATCACATGATTAACAAGTTGAAGAACTAACCAACTTCTCTTATCTTCACATCCTCTCAAACCTCTCAAAATAGGAATTACGTGCAAGAGATACAGCAATTTCAGTTATCTCCACGGCGTGGGATACCAAGAATTCAAAGGAAGTAATGATTCAATGAGTTAACAACAGACATGGCTAATAATGTTACCCCTAGCAAGCTCACTTAGCACTCAGCACCCCTTCCTCTACCACCCATCACCCTATGGCAGGGCTGTACAAACGAACTTAAGGGTATGCAACAGAACCCAGTTCTACCCCTCTCCTCTGCACTAGTGCTTCAGAAAATCAGAAGGCAGAAGCTTGCTCAGTCCATGAGGTGATGTTCTATGTTACAACAGAGAACTGAAGAAATGAGACAGGACCTATGTGTGACTCTGTGTCATTCTACTAAACCTGAAGGGAAAAATCCAATCTACCTGGGGCCAGTTCTGTCCCCACAGAAGTCATTTGGAAGCAGAGACTGAGGCTGTGAAACTGGGAATTTCCCATCTTGGAAGGAGGCTGAGAAGGCTTTGAGGGTTAGCCCCCAAGGCAACTACAATCAAATGGGAAGGAGGAAGAAAGCAAGTGATGGGTGATTTGGAGGGTGGGGGAGGTATATAATTTGTCAAATATTTTCAGTGATTTGATCTAGTTAAAAAATCCTCCCACAATTCCCCATACATATTTTGTTAGCCAAATTAGTACCCAAATGTGAAAGGAGAACAATTGAACTTTCATTAGAAGGAGAGCAGCTCTCAGAACTAGTTAGCATTTTGACATTTGTGGTGTATAGGTCCTTCTTAAGCAACTTTCATAGGCCTGCCTTGTGTGAACTACATGGCACTAAATGTATCGTTTGCCATTTATCCCCAAACAAGCAGACTTTTATGTTTAAATTAGTTTCTCAGATCCAAATCTTAAAGAGGGATAATCAGCTACAGCTTACTAAATGCTGATGTGTTTACAATGCATCTTTTTTTTTAATGTGTTCTATTAAATAGGCAGCTTTGATTTGACAGGTCACTGCATTCATAAATTAAGTGAGGCCCTGGACTGTTTCCATGGGGCTAGCCTCCCTCTACTATGGCCCCAGGAAAATGAGGATTACTACAAAATTAAATTTGGGGAGACACCTAATTAATATGAAGAATTCGTACAGTGAACCATTCATTAGCTGCAACTCCATAAGGATATACAGTAGATGTCCTCTATATGCCCTCTAATTGAACCCTTCTTTAGATACAATTCCTTCTTTTGGCTTTGGTAAAATCAAAGTATTTTCCTGTACAATGCGCTTTTTCTTATTCCAATCCAAGCATAAATTTAAAAAAAAACAAAAGAGAATCCTTTTCATGTTACTTCAGTGGACCCAGAGTCTCTAAAGGAGTCACAATCTAGGCATTTAGACTATGTGTACATAGAGCCAAAACAACAGATCAATTCAGTCAAACAAAATTGTCAATTGAATACAAAAGCAGAGGCAGTTGTTTGACTGAACTAACTGGTCAACTCAGGCAAAATGACCAGTCTAGTAACCTTATGACACTTCAGCCTTAAACTGAACCTCTGAATCCACGATGGCTGTCCATATGGAACAGAGAGCTATAGAAAAACACATTTCCTTCACTCTGCCAGTCAGATTGTGGAAAATGTGGATCTCCAGACTGAATGAGTTCTGAAACAGAGATCAGCAGTAGTTCTCATCTGCCATTCTTGAAACCATCAAAAATTCTGACACTAGGTAACTATAGTTTGGTAAGTATAAGCCAAAAAAAAAAAAAAAAAAACCAAACCAAAACTCAACAACAAAACAATCTTACTCATAATTATTAGTTGCATTCAACAATCATCTTCCCCTTAGGGAAAAGTAAAAAATACTTCATCTATTCCTGCTTACTTGAGCTCTCTTCAGTATCATCTTCTTCTTCCTCTTCTTCCACTTCTATTTGCACTGTCAAAAATATAAAAATAAAGAGTTGAGTTTTCAAACAACAAACATTTTTAAAAAATTTTTGTTGTGAACTTAAACATCAAAAAATGAGCATTTCTATATGCAGAGGACAGTGCACACACACAAAAGTAATTGCATATATAACTGAGCCTCCATTTCATACCACTCCTTGGTTGTTGTTTTTTTTTAAGCATATAATAAATTGAACATGTTACTTTCAAAACAGCCTTGCTTCTTGTCAGTGCTTCTTTCTGAATTTCCTTCTATGTTCTCTTTTATGAATCTTTAAAAAAAAAAATCTTTCAGTAGATTTCTCTGTGTTCATCTGTCTGTCTTCTCTCTCTCTATCACTATTGCTAACTCCAATTACACTAATGTCACAAATTAAAATCAGAGAGGAAGAAAACCCTCGGTAACAATACGTATTGTCAAGCAAAATAAATCCACATGGTGTCCATGTCCAAAAAAGAAAAAAAGTTTCTTTCTACACCTTGAATCCATCACTTCTTTATCAGATGGTATGCTTCATCGTAGTTACCCTGGAGATGTGTTTTTTCTGAATTGCTTTCCTTTACAATGTTGTTGTTATTCTATGAATTGTTTTCCTGGCTCTGCTCGCTTTACTTTGCACCAGTTCCTCCTTTCCAGGATTCTCTGACATTGTCTCTGTCATCTCTTGTAACTCAATAATTCCATTATATTCATATATCGCCATTTATTCAGTCATTCTCCTTTTTATGGGAACCCCTGTGGACTCAAATTCTTTGATTTTCTTCTATCTTTTAATTCCCCTTTTGGTATCAGGATGTTTGTTTTGCTTGTGACTGTCCTGTTGCTGTTATTATTCTATCCCTTAACGTTGCCACCCCCACTTATTCTATCCCTTACCATTCCCACCCCCACTTATTTCCCTATTGAATTTGATGTACTTCTACTCCAAACTCTTTTTATGCTTGCTCTGTGTGTGTGTGTGTGCACGTGTGTGCATATATGCGAATGTGTTCAGTCTTCTTTTGTCCAGTTCAGCCAAAAGTGAGGTTCATCTGACACCCATTCCCTCTACATTTTCTCACATAGACCAATTATGAAAAAAAAACAAGTTTAAGTTCATTCTTTCTCCTTTTTACAATAATGTATTCCTTTACCTTCCTTTTTCTTCACTTTGTTAAAACCCTCAGAATCAATCCATGCCCAGGTCCCCTGTAGTCTTATTTAACTCCTTCAGTACCATTCGAATATGTTAAGGTTCCAAAGGAATACTTATATCTTCTCCCATTATTAGGATGTTAGCACTTTCTCATTACACAATCCCTTCCAATTGCCCAAATAAATTTAACTGCCTAGGCTTTTCTGTGCCTATATGCTTGCATTTTATAGTTTCCACTTAGCTCTGTTCTTTTCATTAGAAATACATGAAAGTCCTTTACTGAATTAAAGTTCTATTTTTCCCCTGTAGCTTTATGGGGTAAGTTATTCTTAGTTAAAAGTCCGTATCTTTTTTTTTAAAATATTGCATTCCAAACTCTACTCTAATTTATTTTAGAAGCTTCCAGGTCTTGTATGTTTCTAACTATGGCTCCTTGGTACTTAAGCACCTTCTTTCTGCAATCTTGCAATATTTTTTCTTTGATATCAAAGCCCTAGATTTTGTGCATGACTTTCCTGGACCTTTTCCTTTTGGGGTTCTGTGCAAGGGGTGATCAGTGGATTCTTTCTATGCCTTCTTGAAATATAGTGTCCTGGAATATGTGTGTGTGGGGGTGTGGGTGTGGTCATGGTTTTTAGGGAGTCCAATGATTTTCAAGTTATCTCTCTTTATCCTGTTTTCCAAGTTTGTTTTTTTTTAAATTAAAAATTATCTCAAATTTTTTTCTATTTTTTAAAAATTCTTTTGGTTTTTCCTATAACCTTTCTTGCTTTCTCATAGAGTAATTGATTTCTGTTTGGTCTATTCTAATTTTTGCTTAGTCTGTTACTTGAGTAAGATTATTCTAAGATATTTATTCACCTTACAACTTCACCCTCCCTGTCCACCAAGCTTTTATTTCATCTTTTATCATTTGCTTTATTTCATTTAGGTATTTGTGTAATCCTTGTAGAAAATCCAATTTTTCCTTTAGGTCTCTTCTTCCAGTTATAAAGTTATACTCTCCTAATAGTTTGGATTTTGGACATCTCGGCATCTACAATAATTGCTTATAGTGATAGTTGTGTTCTTGATACAACCATCTCACCAGTCTTAGTTCCTGATCTGGAACTTTATTCCAAGGCTAAGCTCTGCCCCAGGGGTATGCTAGGGCCAGCTGAAACCAAGAGAGCCAACTGTTACGTTTTCAGTGTGAACAAATTACATCTTGGAATACTACAAATCAGGGCTTGATTTATTGTTTTGTTGATTGTTTAGATTTAAAAGCAATGATAAGGAAAATGTTAATAATGCAGGTCGAATTTAATTTTTTGAGAGCTGGTTGTTAAACATTTACTAGAACACCCCTGCTCTGACCCCTACTATGCTTTTGGATGAAATCAACAACCTTGCTTGATCTCAGTCTGAGTGCCCAGGCTTCGTGACTTCCATATTCTGAGTTTAAGTCCATTGGATCTTTGAGGATAGGAATGATGGATCCTCAGGACCTCTATGATATCTCACTCTAGAACTGAGAGCCCTGAGTCCTGGGCTTTCTCCATCACTGCCCTGCCTATACTAGTTTCTATCATCAATTAGAGCTTCCAACATCCCCACTGTTCTGACTACCCTAGGACTTTCTGAAGGTGCTTTCTGCTCTAGCTGCCTCAGGATACATAACCTTGTAGGCTACAAGTATCTCTGCTTATACTAGAAGGCTATTAGTTTGTCTGGCCTAATGCTAACTCTTTGTGTAGTGAAGCTGATTCTGTGTATTTTTAGGGTGGATGTTTACTACATTTTCTATAGCTGCTCATTGGATTTCTCGATTATTATTTGGTCTAGAACAAATTTCTGGTTTTTGCTGGATAAAGTAAGAGGGAGCTAATGTGTTTACATGAATTTAGGCAGTCATCTTGACTGGAGGTTCACAATATACATTTACTAAGTGCTTACCATGTGGTAGGGACAATGCTTTGTTCCAGAAACAGAAATACAAAAATTAAACAATCCCTGACATTAATTAAGAATATATAATAAGTATATAAAATTTTACAAAATAAATCAAGGTAAATTTAATGGAGAGAAGGAAGGATTAGCATTAGGAGGGCAGGTTTCATGTAGAAGAAGATGCCATTAGACTAGTTATGAATAAAACAAGGTTTTCTAAGGGGTGGAGGTGACTTAGGCATGCGTTCTAGGCATGGGGGATAGCCAGTGCAAAGGAACAGAGAAAGCAGTTTGAATGCTATGTGTGAGGAACAGTAAGAAGGCTATTTTTGACAGTTTGGATGGGTCACAGACTCAAAAACGGTATGTGATTTGTAATAAAGTTGGAAAAGGTCAGAGTCAGTTTGTGAACCTAAACAGAGGAATTTATATTTGGCTCTCAAGGCAGCTAGGTGGCACAGTGGATAAAGCTCTGTGTCTGGACTCAGACTTACCTTTATGAGTTCAAATCTGGCCTCAGACTTACCAGCTGTGTGACCCTGGGCAAGTCATTTAACTCTGTATGCCTCAGTTTTTCATCTGTAAAATGAACTGGAGAAGGAAATAACAAACCACTCCAGTATCTTTGCCAAAAAAAACCCCAAATGGGGTCACAAAGAGTCAGAGATGACTGAAAAGACTGAAAAACAGAGTCAACAGAAGTGATTGAGTTTATTGAATATGGTCAGACCTGTACTTTCAGAAAACAACTGCAGCAGCAGTGTTAGAGGATGGATTCGATATAAGAGAGAATTGAGGCAAGGATAGCCATTGGGAAACTCCTGCAGTGCTCCTGGTGAGAGTTGATGAAGGACTGAAATAGAGTGATAGGAGTGTGAGTGGAGAGAAGGGGATGTATAAGAGAAATATTGTGGTGTTAAAAAGGACAAGATTTCACAACTGATTAGATGCACTGGGTAAGAAAGAATGAAGAGGAGCAGCTAGGTGGTGCAGTGGATACAGCAGTGACTCTGGAGTCAGGAGGACATGAGTTCAAATCTGGCCTCAGACACATAACACTCACTAGCTGTGTGATTCTGGGCAAGTCACTTAACCCAAATTGCCTCACCCCCCCAAAAGAAAACAGAAAGTAGAAAGGCTTTCTGTTTTAAAAGGGCAGCTAGGTGGCACAGTGGATAGAGCAGTGGCCCTTGAGTCAGGAGGACCTGAGTTCAAATCTAGCCTTAGACACTTGACACTAACTGTATGACCCTGGGCAAGTCACTTAACCCCACTGCCTAGCCAAAAAAAAAAAAAAAAAGAAGAAGAAGAAGAAAAAGGAGAATCAAGAATCATGCAGAAGTTTAAGTTGAAACCTGATTGATTATAAGGATGGTGGTGCCCTAAAAGTAGGGAAATGAGGAATGGATTGTGTTTAGGGAAAAAACAAATGAGATCTGTTTTGGACATTTTGAGTTTTATACACCCATTTGCCACTCAGTTTGACATATCCAATTAACAATTGAAAATACACAATTGGAATCCAGGAGAGACATACATTTATTCATTTAACAAACATTTATTATGATCAAAATAATCATTTTTTATTAATAATATTAAACACTGCTCTGTGTTGTAGTGCAAAGAAAGTTGATATTGGAGTTGAGAAGATGGGCGTTCAAGTACTGCCTCTGGCACATACTAACTGGATGGCTGTGGGCAAGATACTTGGCCTTTTAGTGACTGCAGATAAGTGGCAGGCCATAAGTTGCAAAGGAGTAGCTCACATGTGTTGCTGAAAGGATTTGTCATATCAGGTGTTCCCCATACTTCCCATGTATAGAGGCAACTAAGTGGCACAGAGGATAGAGTGCTGGGCCTGGAATCAGGAAGATCTGAATTCAAATTCAGCCTCAGACACTTAATAGCTGTGTGACCCTGGGTAGCAAGTTATTTAATTCAGTTTCCTCAACTGTAAAATGGGGGTGTTAATAATAGCACCTACCTCCCAGGGTAATTATAAGGATGAAACAAGATAATATTTTTAAAGTGCTTAGCATAGTTCCTGGTACATAGTAGGTACTTAATAAATGTTTGTTCCCTCTCTTTCTTCCTCCCATCCTTCCTTCTTTTCTTCCCATACCAATGAAACCATAGGTCTGGAACAAAAACATCAATACCAACATTATTGTACATGGTGATACATGATGCCCTCTTTGCCCCAAGGACTCCTAAGTTTTGCAGAATAACATTATTAGTTGGGAGTGCCAGATTAACACCAACCCACCTATATGAAAATAAAGCCCATTTGAGGTGATGAAAAAGTTAGGAGGGGTCAGTATCGTTCCACCATCTCAAAGCCATAGATTTAATGTAGACTCAGTCTGGCATAAGAGACCTCAGGAAGACAGGTTTAAGTCTTACCATCCAACCTCTGCTACTACGCTTGGCTAGTTACTTAACTTTTCAGTACCCCCAGGCATCTCTAAATTGCAAAGAAAGTGCCAATCTGCATTGGTAAAGGAAATTCCTTAAGAGAAACTTCGTACTCCAATACTACCACAGGTCCAACTAAAATAAAAGATTTAGGGACCTTAGAAATCATTTCATCCAACAGGCCAGGTTTCACAGATGAGACAACAGATGCCAAGAGAACTAAG